TTATATAATAGCCACTGTTCTATCTTTTTGGGCGACTGGCTTGTGGATTCTCTGAGTTCAGATTTTGGGAACAAATTGGAGGTGATGAATCTGACATAATTTAAGCGGAAGAACTGAGCAAACGCAGGCACGAAGCTTTGGCTAAAATAATGGCATATGGTATTGGTTAATCATGTATAATGGTATAAAACATTGTGAAATAATGGTAGAATGGTATGATTGTTTTTCATTGATCATTTCTAAAAGAAAGACCCATGTTTTTTTAAGCATGACATTCTGGAAAATCCTCGTTTTCAGCTCAAACAACTGAGGCGCTCAAAATGCCTGGAGTTGATTGGTTTCTATATGGAGTTGGATCTACCTGGTTCAGTGGGAATTATTGCACCCCATAGGGATACATCATCGGGATACCTATCAGCAAACCAGAAGAAAAAATCATGGGATATAGGTATTCTTGATGGCTAAAAAAGTCATTTCCAGGTGCCCTAGTAGTCAAACATCATCTTCGGATGTGTATTCCATGCTAGGAAGCGGTCAACAAGCATGCTTATCAGTTTGCAACCCAAGCTTAGCGATACCAGATCCCAACAAATAAAAACATATCCCAACAGCGGATTGGTGATTGAGAAGACATCTTTACTTTCAGGTATGTTTTTACTACAACCACTTGTTGCTTGGCAGTTTCAAATGCTTGTTCTTCTTTCTTCTATTTAGGATTCCTGATGATACATATGTATACATATTCCCCCCAGATGGAAAAGTAAGTTACATGGTGTTATATCAATGTGTCACCATTTTAGACATGTTCCTACTCTTCTATATATTTTTGGGTTGCTATATACCCTCAATCTATCTATCTATCCATATATATATAGTTATATATATAATATCCTATGATATGTATAATATATATATATAGACACCATATATATATATATATCATTATATATCATTATATATCATTATATATCATTATATATCATTATATATCCTATATATATATATCATTATATATCATATATATATATATCATTATATATCCTATATAATTATACATATATATATATATATATATATCATGAGATCTCCTATTCATATACGTATATAGGATATGATATCTGTATATATATATGCGCACAACGCCTAGGCCTTGCCCAGGCGCTGCAATGTGGCTGGTTCCCACCCCCATAAAGAGTCCAAATTCCCACCCACGATAAACTTTGCATTTAATTGGGAAGATGAAGAAGGATCAAAAAGCAAAAATCGTTAAACTTTACATTGCAATTGCCTCCGGGCAAAGCCCAGTCATTTGCCATATACATATATATATATATATGCCATATAATATACATACATATAATTTCGGAGGATTCCGATGTTCACTGCTCAGGGGACACATGTGGCCACTGGGAGCATGGACAACACTGCCAAGCTCTGGGATGTCCGAAGACCAAGTCGTTGGACCGGATGACTTCCCTGTTCTCCCGAGCCCTGGAATCATGCTTAAGAAGGGGAATCATCCCAATAGTTGGCCGAACTTTTCAGGTTAGTGAAATACTATAATTTACCCAGATACAAAAAAATAAAGAAATATGATACATATATATATATATACATTATTATATGCGCATATGTATATTTAATATGTTGTAGATAGATAGATAGATAGATAGATAGATAGATAGATAGATAGATAGATAGATAGATAGATAGATAGATAGATAGATAGATAGATAGATAGATAGGTAGATAGATAGATAGATAGATAGATATATATCCCTCTTGTGGTGTTTAGGTTTCTATGTATGAATATAGCTCAGTTTGTCCAAAGCTGTGTGACCGGTTGGCGATCATGAGCTTAACGTTGAGATGGATAGACATGGGTTCCATTGAATAGAATGTGGGTAAAACAATGCCATAAACCATCCCCGAAATCACCATTTTTATAGGTGGTATAAACCATTCCCAGTCATGGGTCATTTATTGTTTTACTCACATTACTCGTACATGATCAAACCATTCAATACATGATGGACCCAAGTGTGATCCCCATTAACACGACTATGACTACCAATCATCAGCTATAACAGCCACACTACCATGAATCAAGGGATGTAAACACATTGCTTGAGCTTAGATTTACCTCAGTGACTCCCGCTGAGTTGATTTTCCTCATCTTTTGGACCCATAGTCTACGAAATTGCAGTTATGGATTGAAAGTTACATAACTTTTTCGCCTGGCTAAGAGCAGACAACTCTTCGATTGGCGACATGGCATCCATCATCTTTCTGAAATTCGCGGGGAATTTCCGTGACATTGGTAGACGAGTAGCAAAAGCAAACAACCCGAAGCCTTTTTGTTAGAGGCAGTAATTCCATGTAATTCCCATCTCTTGTTTGCTTTGATCCCTTCGTGAGCTTCGACTCCCAAGTCAAATTGCTGAAATCTTCATTTTGGTGGATACATCCTAATTTGTGTGGCGTAAACAGGTCAAATCACAGTCTCTGTTATTGTGAGCATTTTCATTTTTGGTGGTCCATGTCCAATCCCATTTCCGCGGGTTTTTTATCGGTCAAATGCCTCTGTTATTTCTGATGTCAATTTCATTCGCAGTTATTCATGGTTGAATCACCATGAATCATCATAGTCATGGCTACATCAAGTTAGATTCCAACACATTTGCCGCAATGATCGCCTTGTACCTCCGCTGTTTGGATGTTTTTTTCAGGTGGACACGGGCCAGCAGATTGCGTCTCTGGAAGGTCACTCCGTGGCCCGGCAGCAGGTGATGTTTATTTTTTTTATCTTCAGATGAAAGCATCATTTAAACCATGCTGAAACCATGAAAAATGATGGTATACTATACATCTATACCTACTCCAGCATGGTAGTATATGGCTAAATGGTATTGAACAACTCCACCAAACGAACATACTGTAGCATTTGTAGCTATGGAAAATAGATGAACATTTTTCGCATTTAGTTCGATGATGAATTGGTATAGATGATGGGGATCTGAGTACTTCACCAATATCATAGCTATGGAAGCTCTTCCGTTCTGGCGAATAGGCATGGTGGAGCCACTCACTGACCCCAGCTGGGACTACCGGACGCCACCGAGACATTGGGAATGTCCAACTGACGAATCAACGGCGATCACGACTGATTTTTCAGATGAATTCGGAACGTCCCCAAGAATATCCAAGAATTATGATATGAATCATTATCATTCAGTATCACTCTATCCCATTGGATAATGATTAGATATTATGGGATACACCAAATTATAGTGAGATTAGGGACAACACATAATATTAGGATACACATGGATAGACGTGGCTACACACAGAACAAGACTGGTTGGTGGTTTGGAACATTTTTTTATTTTTTCCATATATTGGGGATGTCATCATCCCAACTGACGAACTCATTTTTTTCAGAGGGGTAGGTATACCACCAACCAGAAGATGTGGCTTACTAAACATCCACATCAATGGTTGGTTTCCCTTCCAATCTCCAACCCCACGTACGTGCGTACGTGGAATTTTCCAAAACCTGGCGCGCCGTTCGTTGAAATTCGTCGACCGAGGCGGAGATCGTCTCACTGAACTTCAACACCGACGGTGACAAAATTCTCACCGGCTCCTTCGACAACACTGCGAAGGCGATTTTTAGCCTTCGATGATCTTTGGATGGGACATGATGGCGAACATGGGGTACCTGATGGTATGATAGTATGGGCTAGATTGATGGGACATGTGAATATATATATTATATGATAATTTATGTATATATATATATGACATATCTATACATGATATATATACATATATATATGATATACACGCATATATATATATGTATACATATATGATATATATATCTATATATTTGTACTGTATATGATATATATATATATATACACCGCATATATGATATATATTTACTGTATATATGATATATATATACTGTATATATTGATCAGATATGTGTACAGTGTAGACTATGTCACATGTAGCATATATGTTTGTATATGTGCTGCAGCCATTTTAGTGCTTTCAGCTACCTTCGAGCTGACTGAGTAAAAGGTGCTGATCAGTGCTCAGGAGTGTTCATCAGATTTAAGAGCCCAAATTCTCTGTTCATGGTAGGCGGAGCTTAGGTTCTGATACCCAGCTGTGAATGTGTAGGTGTCAACGCCGAGCTGTCTCTGCTCTGGCGCACTCACCTCGTGCCAACTGGAAAAGGTTGACACTCAAGCTCTTCTTGGGTACCTTTGGAGACCCAAGGGTTCTCTTGAATCAGGTCTCAAAGCACCTGAAGAACGACTAAGGATGGCTCAGCAACAGCAGCCACCTCAGCAACCAGGCACTCCACCAGCACCAGCACAAGGACAGACCAACGGTCCCAACATGTCCCAGATGGTTATGCAGATGATGGCCCAATTGACTCAGGGTCAGGCGCAGTTGAATCAGGCAATGACCGAGGCTATGAACCAGCAGCTACAGATCAACAGAAATGTTGAGAGGTCTGTTGAGTACAAAGACAGATCAGAGTTGAAAGGCATACCCAAACCTGATAAGTTCACTGGAGCATCAGGCACTTGGGATAGTTGGTGGTACAAGTTTAAGACATGGGTTGAAAGTTGCCACAAGAATGCTGTGAAGATTGTGGCGCAAGTTGAATCTCAGTGTGACAAAGAGATCACTGAGTCAAGTCTAGAAGTAGACTTTGATGAAGGCGCCGAGCTAGTTTCAGCTCAGGCTAGACAAGCCCTCATATCATTGACTGAGGGAGAAGCGTTGGAAATTGTCAAGAACACATCTCGTGGTAGCCACTTTGGCCTAGAAGCCATGAGACGACTGTTGTGCAAATATGATCCTCAAAATCCTCAAGCCAATTCAGCCTTGTTGAAAAAGGTTCTGCATCCAAGTCAATGCAGTCTTGATAAGCTTCGAGAAGGGCTTGAGAGTTGGGAGAACTTGAAAAGAAAGTACGAAGACAGGAGAAAGAAACCACTTGAAGATGACATCTGCAGGAGTTGCTTGCAGCAGATGTGTCCCAACAAGTTGCAAGATCATTTGGACTTGCAGGCTTCGAGATTGACCACGTATGACCAGGTGAAAGCTGAAGTTTTGGCCTATCTCGAGAATGTCGAGACCAGAAAAGAAGCAAAGTCAGGAGCCGTTCCCATGGATGTGGGTTCCCTTGCTAAGGGTAAGGGAAAAGGAAAACATGATAAAGGGAAAGGCAAAGGTAAGTCCAAAGGTAAAGACAAAGGAAAGAGTCAGTCTTCGTCTTGGTCAAACAATTCATACAACAAGTCTTGGAACAATCAGTCTTGGAACAATCAATCTTGGAATCAGCAGTCTTGGTCTAAACAGAATACCAATGACTCCAAGAGCAAAGGCAAGGGTAAGAAAGGTCAAGACAAAGGTAAAGGTAAAGGTGATCAAGGTAAAGGTCGCAAAGTTGCCAATGTTGAGTCTGATGCTTGGACTCAAGAGCAACCTGCAGCAGCTGCCACTGGTGATCAACCTGAACCTGAACTCACAGCGCTGTTCACCTTGGAAGACACTATGGCACCAAAGTCTGAGCGCCGTGAAGAGTCTGAACCTCCCAAGGCAAGAAAGTTGGAACCCAAGCGCCATAGAGGAGGACATCACAGGTCTGAAAGACGAAGAGCAGATGAAGCAAGGAAGAAGGCCAATAAGGAAAAGATGAAAGAGATGAGTAAGGATGAGATCCCACAATGGATCCATGACAAGTGTGAGATTTCCTCTGAGGAGAGCATTTCCTCTGAAGGATATGAGTTTGTCAGCAGACTTGAAAAGCTGAAAACCGATCCTGAAGTCCTCAGCAAGTTGGACAACGTCTTGAAGGAAGCCTACGAGAAAGCCTATGGTGAAGTTCTTGACCTAGGATCTTCTGATGAGACAGATCCAGACGATTTGCCCTACAACCAGGAGCCAGCACCAGGCATGGAGGATGTGGTCGAGCATTGGCAGAATTCCTTTCGAAGACCCATTCCATTCAAGGAGTTGCATGAGAAGTGCAAAACTGTCTCCAACAAAGGGTATCCCTATGTGAAGTGCCAGTCATGTGGAAAGGCACTCAACTCCGCGAGCGTTGCAAGCTTTTGGCAACATGTGGAGAACAAGCAATGCTATCCTCAGTATGCCCTGGAGTTTTGGAAGAAAGAACATCGTCAGGCAAAGGCAGAGAGAGAGGCACGAGAAGAAGGAGAATCATCCCAGAAGCGCCCCATGGATGATGCAGAAGCCAAAGATGAGAAGAGGCGCCAAGAGATTGCCAAGGATGAAGAAAGGAAGAAGCGCAAGCAAAGCTTTGAGGAGCACTACGAGCGCTTCAGGCACAAGGGCAAAGATGAAGTGAAGCCCGAGGTGAAGAAGATCCCCAAGAGGCCAGGGGAGAAAGAGAAGGTCGAGGAGAAAGAGAAAGAAGAAGAGAAAGAAGAAGAAGAAGAAGAAGAGGCACCCAGAGCACCCATCGAGCTGAAGTCCAAATCCCCATCGAGAGCGCCTGAGGACAGCCGGGCTGATTCAGCCCAGGCGTCCAAGGGCAGGGGAAAGTTCAGCATGGGCACCAAGAGATTCCTGGAGAAGACGGTGCGTGATGCAGCCAACTACATGGAAAGAAAAGCCAGGAAGAAGAGGGAGAAGACGCCATCTCCCAAGCTCAGGGAGCATTCACCAGGAGGAGGAGTTCGGTCAGACTCCAACCTCGACTTCCTGGGAAGTTTGGCATCTCAGGTGGATACCATTGTCTGGGCCACCGTTGACTCAGGGGCAGCAACCAGTTGCCTACCCAAGGAATTGGCACAGTCATTGGAGTTGGCTATGACGCCTGTGGATGAGAAGCCGTTTACCAATGCATCAGGACAACCAGTCCAGGTGCACGGCATATGCAACCCCATGGTGACAATGGGTGAGAAAGGAGGCCCACAAGTCAAAGGTGTGGGACAGTTCCGGGCAATGGATGTGGCAAAGCCATTGCTATCTGTGTCCAAGCTGGTTGAGAAAGGCTGGACAGTGACCTTCGGCCCCAAAGGATCGTTCCTGCAAAGGGGAGCCAAGAAGGTACCAATCACAATGACTGGAGGAGTCTTCAAAGTAGCCATGGATTTTCATGGGCAGCCCATAGAAGGGTTGAAGGCGTAAGTCCTGTGGAGACCACAGAGAGCGCAGGTAGTGGAGATGATGAACCGGGCAGTAGTAAGCTAGGTTCTCAAGCGCTACCAACTGCAGCAGCGCCGACGCAGAGAGAAAAAGAAGAGCATTTTGTCAGCCATTATCCTTTTAGGAGTTGGTGTGAACATTGCATTCGAGGTAAGGCAAAGGCAATGAGACATGTCAAAGTAGATCATTCAGATGAAACAGTTCCTGTGATCTCAGCTGACTATTGTTTCATGAATTCAGTGGATGACACTGTCATCACAGAAGAAGTGCAGAAAAAGCATGCACCAGTTTTGATAGTACATGATCGATGGTCCAAGTTGACCTACGCACACGTTTTGCCATACAAGGGAGTTACCCAAGGTCCTATTGGATCTAAGTGTCTTTTGAATGACCTTAAGAAGTTTGGGTACCCCAAGATGGTCATGAGATATGACCCAGAGCCGGCACTCAACTCCGTAGTTGAGGCAGCCAAGAATGGTTTTGACAAACAGTTGGTTTTGGAAAAAGTTCCCAAAGGAGTCTCAGAATCCAAAGGGGAAATTGAAAGAGCAGTTCAAGCTATTGAATCTCAATCCAGGACACTCAGAAGTGCCTTGGAGACAAGCTATGGAAGAAAGGTGCCAGACGACCACCCAGTTTTGACATGGTTGGTTGAACATGCTAGCACCACTTACAATTTGTTTCACAGATCATTGGAAGTCAAAGATGGGAAGACACCGTACTCTAGACACCGTGGTCGTGAGTGGAGAGTGTCATTACCACCATTTGGGGAAACAATTGAATTCCTCAAAAGAGGTCACAAGTTTGAACAAAGATGGCACCAAGGAGTTTTCTTGGGAGTCAAAGACAATACCACTGAGAAGATAGTGGGAAATGCATCAGGTGTTTTCACTGTGCAAAGCATTCGACGCAAGAGTGCTGACGACAGATATGATGCCGAAACTTTGATGTCAGTCACTGGGGTTCCCTGGGATCCTCAAGCATCAAAAAGAGATGATGTTTTGCTTCCTCAGATTGTTGGGGGAGATCAGCAGCCACTGGCGCCATCAGTGCCAGTTGAGCCACCAAAGAAGTCGACAAGACGACTTTACATCACCAAACGTGATTTGGACAAGTATGGCTACACCGCTGGTTGTGTCGCCTGTGATGCCACTAGAATTGGCAAAAGAGGCACTGGAGTTCATCACACTCCAGCCTGCAGAGAAAGGATGGAACGTCTGCTTCAAGCAGAAGAGGGCAACCTGAGAGTAGCCCAACATACGGCCAAGGTTGATTCTGAAATCACTGGTCAGAAACAAGAAGTGTCCGAAGAAGGCACAAAGATTCTTTATGGGTATTCAAGTGAGAAACCACAAGAAGTTCCTCACGGTTTTAAGGTGTTTGCGCGCCTTGACAAGAATGCAAGGTATCTCAAGGGTACTATGCCAGAAGGTCCCAGTTGGGATAACGTCTGGTGGAGAGTCACCAGAGATTTCAAAACAGGAAA